TGTTAGTCTGTGTCCGCAAAAAGAACAGGAGTACTTGTGGCACCTTAAAGACTAACAAATTTATTAGAGCATAAGCTTTCGTGGACTACAGCCCACTTCTTCGGATGTATATAGAGTGGAACATATATTGAGGAGATATATATACACACATACAGAGAGCATGAACAGGTGGGAGTTGTCTTACCTGGTATGACACCTCCCACCTGTTCATGCTCTCTGTATGTGTGTATGTGTGTATATATATATATATATGTACACCTCAATATATGTTCCACTCTATATGCATCCAAAGAAGTGGGCAGCAGCCCACGAAAGCTTATGCTCTAATAAATTTGTTAGTCTCTAAGGTGCCACAAGTACTCCTGTTCTTTTTACTTTGAGTAACTCCCATATATTTGTGGTTTATATTTTGGTTCCAGGAACACAACCTTCTGTAAAATTGGTTCTTGTGGTAATTATTGGACCCAAGGAAATCCAATGAGTTTGTCTTGGCTGCAAAGAATGAGCCTGGGCAGCTACTTTGGGGCTGTTTGCAGTTTTGGGGCACCTGCTGCTTTGGGGGAATTTATCAGCTGCTTTGCCTCCAATTGAGTCTTCCCCATGAGCTTTAAATGGTTACAAAACATCATTAAACTGGGGGCAAAACCTAGAACCCTGCTTAGATCACTGGTTGACCCTCTGCTGTAGAAGAGGACAAAACATGTAGATAAGTGCCTCCGACCAGGAAAGGGCACGTTAGCAACAACTGGGCGCTAACTCAAGCACCTCCAGCCCTCTTGCAGGTCAACTCCCAGAGCAAATGCCGATTGCTTGCTGACGCTTTCCTGCCCTAGCACCCCTTTTGGGTGGCCTGCGAAGGAACCTGTGCCTTCTTGAGAGATGCTAGCTACTCCGTGGGCCCTAAGGTCAATAAAAAACCACCAGCCTCCTCATCTGACAGAATAAACCCCCTGCTAATGCAAAGTTCACTTTCGGTGAAGCATCCTATGAACAAACTTCAGCTACTATGGCCTCAAATAAATGGCTTGGCTGCAGCGTCCTTATCCGTGCTACAACTTCGCTACCAAAAGGGAATGCATGTCTGGGTTGCTCTGCTGTCCATCGGCCACGAAACAGCTGCTCAGAGCGCCCGATAATACAGTCCAGCCTTTCTGCTCTTTGGCACCGAAAACTTCGTCCTGGCGATAACTGCGAGTGACCAGCATGGAGCAGCACATCCCGACCGAAACTCTTCCCCGTCGCTTCCGCAAACAGATACCGAGCCTGCCCCACTCTCGGGTTTGGGACCGAATTCACTCCTTTGGCCGAAACCACCGCTCGTGCGAACACAGTTACGGCGAGTTATGGTGCTTACATGGATCGGGAACCTTAGAGCAGTTCCGCGCCACGGCGCTGGGACACGTTACCGACACCGGGTTCAAACCAGGATCGTTAACCCGGTCTAAAAACTGTCCCTAGACAAGTCGCGAGCCCCGCGGGAGCGTTTCTGGTGCTGGCTTCGGGCAGCGCTGGGACCCCCTCGCCCTTTGCTTACCCGTGCACAACAAAGCGTCTCCGCTTCCAGACCCGGCAGCCCCAACGCGCGCTCCGCTCCCGCGCAGCCGTCCGCGCTCACCCGCGCTCGCTGCGCCGCCCGAGGCTGCGCCGAGCCCCTGGGCTGCAAAGCAGCGGGGCGGCCAGGGCCCCTAGGAGCCGGGCCCAGCACAGCCAGGGGCCGGGGGAGAGTCCCTCCCACACCCCGGGCTCCAGGCGGCCAGGAGCCCGCAGGGATCCAGTGCCGGTGTAGTCCCGGAGCCCGGGCGGGGGAGAGGCAAATCGCGGCCGGAGCCGCTCGGCCCTGCCACGCTCCGATGCCCGCGGCTCGGCGCTGGCTCCGCGCCGGGAGTCGGTAAGTTCTCGGACCGCCTGTCCCCGC